ACTCAGTTGTGGATACCAATATGTAAATATAGGAAGGGACACAACTCTCAATTCAGTTATCAGTTATCCCTAAAAAGGACTTGCCAAGCATAATACAAATCAATATTCCTCATGAATTTCTGCTTCATCTCAGATAGCGAAACATATATTTGGATAGCATTTTAAATCATGTCACGGATTTGTTCTCAATAAGATCAATTAGCATAATGTGTTGAAGTCGGTTTCATTGTCCCTCATATTTCCTCTGTCAGTTCATTCTTTACCTCAAATCATACTTGAAGTTTAAATTGTATTCAATTTCTTACAATTTATTCTTGAAAATCATAACAAGTGAATAAAATTTTTAATTTTTACTAAAACATTTTACAAATTATAAATCTGTATATTTCTGTAGTAACTATTTTTTTTTCTACATTGTGGATGTAATTATTAGTACCTTTATATTTAGGAAATAAAACTATGAGATTGATTGATGATATATGTTGGGCTATTTTATTATGTCGTGTATCCAAGTCTGAAGTCTTATACATATTTCTACCAGGGGCAGCCATTTTCAGATTTATAAAAAGAAATATTTTCTTCATTCTTAAATCTTAATTGTAAAATGCAATTTAATTATTTTTTTTTAACATTTTAATTAAACATTTATTTTTTATTTTTTTTTTCTACTTAAATTATCTGTCCCTTGAAACAGTTAACTAGCAGCTTATCTGGCAAGAAGTTTACTTCATGATATGCAATCTATATTTCTATAGTTAATAAGCATCTTGTCATATTTTGTTTTACATGTCTGTAGTTCTTTGTGCTATGAATGGTTTGATATGAATGCCTAGTTATTTATGATACTTTGAGAATTACAGACAAGAGATTCATAGTTTTGTTTGAATCATTAAACTCATTGTTTTTTTGTTTTGTTTTTTTTGTAAATATATATTTTTATACAATTTGAGTACAAGTATTAAAGTGTTTTAATTTTATATAATTACATTGTTACTCCTACACTAATATTTTCATTGGGGACGAAAATGGCTATAGTCCTGTGGGTACATTGAATTTAATAATTGCTCCCTAATTTTATAGGCAGCTATTCATCAACTGCCATCGTTTTATAAGAGTAATAATTGAGCACCATTTCTTTTCACAAAAGCCTTTTATACCTCACTTTACCTTACACTAAGAAACATCATAAAATAAGTTTGTAACCTTTTTTTAAACTAGATGTTTTAAAGTAATTTGTCTAAAATTGCTCAGATTTTGTCACACTTTTATATTTGGAAAAATGTTTATAGTTCTTCTCTATATTTTTATTACAGCAGTAGAAGATATTTCTTTTATCTGGTGCTTGTTAAATCTGTAGGTATCCTGTATCTGTGCCTAGAAAGATCATGATTTATCTTTCATCTTTACTCTTATGCTTAATATTATGTTACAGCTTCTCAAATTTTTTTCTCTAGGATAATCTTTCAAGTTTGAAACAGTGTAAAAATATTAATTGGCTCTAAAACATAAGTAAATGTATTGACTTTATATAAACAGTTCAGTTCATTGGACAACATAGGATGTGATCATTTTGTACTTAAGTACTGGATAGTCTGTTGACAAGAACATACATTGTGTTAGGAGATCACCAGGTGTAAATGTATAAGTAGAAAGTGCTTCAGTGGTTCCCAAGTCATGGTAAGCTGGGTTTAAAGTTCATGTTTTGTATCGCCTCTAAGTGAGAGCTTAATCTTGTCAAAATATAGATTACAAACACAATAACTACTTTTGCTCACTAACTAAAGACATAAAAAGATAAATGTAAAAACATTCTTTGATTCATGATACCCAACATGCAACTGAGCATTTTTCAGTATTCAGTTCAGATTAGTGAAATAATTGAATCAAAATATGCTCTGCCCATAGTGCTCTTTCAGTTCAATAGGATTTTGTCCAAATAAATGGCTGGTCCTTTACAGCCAATTTGACTGTGCACATAAATATTTGTCATGGTAGTGATACATTTTAAAATCAATCAGAAACTCAATTCACATCAAATATTTCCACTGGTGCTAAAAAAAGGGAGCAGATCTTTTTTGGAGAATTAGAATTTTGAACTCTCCTCTATTTGTTTTTTTTTATTTTCAAAATATTTGTGTGCTTTTTGGACAAAATGTGTCAGTTAACCTTAAGATCAAGAAACATTTTCTGTTTAAATAGCCATTTCAAGTTTTTACATACGCTCATGTCTTGTCCACCTTTAATTCGACATGCACAAATGTATTTCAGTGTAAATATAATTTGTATTTGTTCCTTTACAGTTGATGTACTTAATTAGTGATATTATTTAGACCATGGTCAAATCCAGATATGGCAACTAAATTATTTTTTTTCCTAAAGATTTTTTTTTCTTTGTGTTTTTGTTTAAGATTCTAAAACATTACAATTATAATATGTGTTGACTGTTCTCAGTGTATTCATAATATAATGATCTGCATTACATAAATGGAAAATGAAGCATATTAAGTTTTTATAAAGACTGCATCTTTAACTAAGTTTGTCATGAACTGACAAAAAATATCAAAACAAAGAAAAAATTAACTTATTAATATATTATTAATTGTTTTGAATCCTAAAATAATAAGAACCATTTTATAAATTTCAAGAAAAAAAAAAGTTGAATTGTGACTGTGAAGAAACAAAATGGGTTTTGTTGATCACTGACCCATAAAATGAAAAACAAAAAGGTTGTAGTTGATCATTCCACTATTTGTCTAGATAACATTGTGTCAAAAATATATCACTTTGATGCTGTCGTACTGCACATAACATTGAAATCAAATGTTTTTACCATAACCTTTTTGTTCTTACAAGCCAGTAACATTTCATATACAACAGATTATTACATACAGCCCTCACATCATTAAGGCATATCTGCTTAGATATGGAAATAAGAAATTCATAGTTCTCTTGTAAAGAACTAATGCTGTTCTCATAAGAGCTGTGGACTTAAGACTATCTTATCTTATATGATACAGATATCACTAACTAAGTTACTAGAAAGTTTAAATGAAATGCTTTCCAACATAATACAGACTCTAGAATTCATTAGTGCCCTCAATGATACCTTTAGGCTTTAGATCAGTCCTGATCATCATACCATGTATTTCATATGTAAGTAATTAGATGATATTAAAATAAGCTATTACAAAAAGTAATAACTAATTCTGATTTTTTTTTTTTTTTTACAACTGTTTAATGTGTTCTGTCTGAACAAATATAAATTTTATTTTTACGTACAATGCAATATGATTTTTTTTAAATATTATTATTTGATTGGTATTATGTTCTGTTGATCGATTGTTGTATCTGGAGTTTTCTTTTTTTTGGAGACAATTATCTCTATGAGTCATTATTGTAACATGTTAATGTAACATCAAACTTTGATAATAAATATCATTTTGTAACATCATCTGAAGGGGATTGTCAAGTTGAAGAGCAATACTTTGACAAGGGCTATAAACAAACAGAATTAACTTGATATTTCCCCTCAGGTTTTAGTTTTCAGTTTATGATGTTTATTGAGGAGTGTCTGATACATCTGTGCCATGAAGGGTCATTAGATAATATTTATCTTTCACAAGATGTAATACTTTCAAGTTGTAGTGTGGTATAGCACTCCACTGCTAATGTATTTACACTTTCAGATTAGGCTCCAATAAATTTTGCCAATTTTATTTCTTTTGATTACTAGTACTTATGAGTGTATAAAGCTTAGAATTGAGATAGAAATGGTAATGGTACCTTTTTCAGATCTTGCAGTCTATCAGGGCAGTTGATGTAAAGCTCCTCTGTTTCTATGGCTTAACATATGTCAGGTACCTTTAAGAGTTGGGTATAATCACAGGCATTAGAAAAATCCTGAAGTTTAAAATCACAGTCTTCACTGGGATTCAAACTCAAGAGCCCTGAGTTAATAGCTCAAGTGCTTTACTACTTTGCCACCATGCCCCATAGAATTGAAATGCTACAAAGAAAGGAAATAATCCTTGTATGAATATTTGTGTTCAGTTTGACTTATCTTCCCTTGTAAAACCTTTGTCTCTAGTTTGTTATATCATGCTGCTAGTTTACTTTTATGGCCCTGTCCTCAACACATCCTTCTCTTTCAGCTTGTTCAACTCAAGACTTTCAAGTGTTTGTTTCATCTTCCAAGTCTGCAGACCAGTAAATAAATGTGAATTACAAAAAAACATGTCTAAAAAGGAACAAAAGCATCAGCCTGGTGTTATTGAGATCACTTTTCCCAGAGTGCATTCTCTAATCCAGCACGCTGTTCTCATGTCACCAAATTAATCTCTCTTCACTCATGTTTTAGTTATTTACATTTGACTCTCAAGTTGTTTTGGTTTTTGTTGGCATAAAAAAGATTTCATCACATTTCCCATTCACATTGTCTCATGGGCCAAAGTTTCACATTTTCCATCCACATTGTCTCCTAGGTCAAAGTTTCACATTTTCCATCCACATTGTCTCATGGGCAAAGTTTCACATTTTCCATCCACATTGTCTCATGGGCCAAAGTTTCATGTTCAAAATGTTCCTATATATAGTTTTATTTTGCACATTTTGTTTTTCGAGTGAAAAAAAACAAAACGTCCATGCTTTCATATGTTTCAACTTGGCATCACATTGTTTCATTCAGGGTTACTGTTAGGGTCAGTGTGTCTTTCTTTTTCTTTTTGCAAAAGGCAATTTTCTACAAATTATAACTAGATCTACTCCCTGAAGCTTACCATCTAGTTTTTTCTGCCGGAAATACCAGTATTAATGACATAAAGGAATAATATTGTCTTGCTTATATTTAATACTTCATGGACAACAGTTCATTCTAATTGAGATTTTAAATGGGTAGCAGTTTACCTCTTGTCCAGAAAGTGCCAGTCTATGGATAACGGTTAATCTAATTTGGGATCAATGCTCTAATAATCTATATTTATTAGGCAAATTAATCCCCCACTTAAAAAAAAAACAGCAAAAATGATCATAATCCGAGTTATTTTTTTATTTTTATTTCATGAATTTCACTAAATGAAAGTGAATGTTTGACAGATATTTGAAATTGATCTTCTGGAGCTCATTGTTTCCTAGCTTGCTCATTTGATTTTACATTTTTTTAAAAATATTTGCCTTAGCCTCAAGTTTTATTGTAACTTTTGTACAATCTGTTTGGTTGATTGAATGTACTTTTACAAATACAGATAATAACTAATTGATGGCCCACAATATGTCTTTGTTGTTGTATTAATCAGTGGTATAAATGGTCTCTTAGACTATGGTTTAATGGTGATGTAATAATGACAGTATACTACAGTATAAAAAAAAACTGAATCACTTCCACAAGACCTAAGAAAAAATACCTGATACTGAAGTCCTTTGAAGTGCGAGCCTGCAAAGCATTCACACAATCCTGATGCAAGCCCAGCTGCGGTGGGCAGGACACACGTGCATAATTTAATACCCCTGCATACCTAAACAACTCCTGTAAGGCCAATTAAGGGAAGGAAAGCACTCACAAGGTGGACAAAGAAAATGCTTTAGGGACACCCTTAAAGCTTCTCTGAAACCCTTCAGCATTGACCCAGCCACCTGGGAGACAGAAGCACATGACAGAGCATCATGGCTTTGCACTGTGAAAACTGGTACAGAAATTGCTGAGGACGAGAACAGCGCTGGCAGAAGAAAAGCGTCAGCAAAAAAAAAAAAAGCAAACTGGAATAACCTGCCCAGTTCGCAGTGGAACATTCCGGGCTCATATAGGTCACATGAGGAGGCACAAAACCCCAGTGCAAAGCCCTCAGCCCCCTGGATGGCAAAAATGGTCATCATCAAACCACGACGGACGAACTATATATATATATTTATGAATGCCAGTGAAATATTGTCTATAAATTCATACTTTCATGAAACAAAGATTTGAGGCCAAAGTTACCTATGCCAGTGCATTTTCTAGGAGACCCATTGATTCTAGAGATACATGTACAATTGAATTCAAGCGTGGTCGAGAGGCTAAGTGTGCTTGAACTTGGATTGTCTTGGCCACCTAGAAGTGGGCTCGAGGTTTGACACTCGACTCGAGCAGAGTTGTGTTTACTGAGCGCCTAAAGGAAGCACGGAAAACCAACTCCTAGATACCCCCTCCCCTCAATGGTCCACAAATTAGATTGGACCAAAGTGCTCTGAACATGCTATAAGCATGAAAGTAGCAATATATAAAAGCTATAATAATAAAAATAATAACCGATTTACAAGCCGAAAAGTAGTTTCTAAAAAAGTCGATTCTAATAAAAGTAGTTTCTAATATCGTCACAGCCACTTTTTTAGTTATCTCCTGTCTGATTGTATGCTATGCTCTCAGCATAACTCAGCCCCCTTGATAGGTAACCAAAGCAGTTTTTGCCTTTCAGACCCACATCCCACTTTACATAAATATTAGTGAATCAAACATAGATCAACATTGCAGCAAAGGAAGAATTAAGGGACAGTTTTGTAATAATAATAATAATACAAAAAGAAACAACAAGTGCTCGACAAAATAAAACTCAGATATTTTGTCTTTTAATCAATTATATTTATTATGTATCCATTATTTATTATTTGCATTATCATTTGCAATGAATTGTACACAAGTGATTCATCAGTTATTATTGTTAGATACATAGTCTAGATATAAATTTGTAAAATATTTTAAAATTCCATTCAATTGAAATGAACACATAATGGACTCTATCCACACAAATATTGTGTAGATAGCTCTTTTCATTGACATAAAAATATAAAAATCTGAAGAAAACAAATCTTTTGTAACATATGAGTAATATTCTAATGTTAAATGCCTTCAATCAAAGAAATATCATTACCTGGTAGAAAGTTTTGTATAATAAGAAATGTTACTATAATAACAAGAACAATATAGATAGCAGTGAGATTTGATAGAAACAACACTCTACTGGCATTGTACTGGTGAGTAATACAAAACAGTAATACCTCATAAAAAGAATTATGCGTTGTCACAATGCTGTGTAGAACAGGTTTTTATAACAACCCCACTTAAGCTTATAACTGCCTACAAATGACACCACACACCATTTTTCGATGTTGATTCACACAAGTGCAGGTGTGTTATGGAGGTTCCCTTGTGCATGTTTACAAAACAACCAAAAAATTGCATAAAATTACAAAAACAAGATAATTTCAGTAAATGGAATTTCATTGACCTGAGTATTAAGCAACAAAAAAAATTGCAATAAATCAACAACCATGACATACAAAGTTTATAAAGTGTAAACAATATCTTTAAAAATCAGGATATTCATGTTTTCTAGATACTCATTATATTTTCACTATATAAACCTCTAGTATTTCTTAATTTACAGTGGGCTTGTTTTAATGAAGATCTCCTCAAGTGTCTACAACTCCTCGGTGGTACACCACTTGTAAGCATTTTCAAACATCTTCATCCAGGGGGAGAACTTGTGGGCATCTGTTACACTTTTTGGTGTCCAGGGGCACTGCCAGGTCCAGATACAACGTTCAGGGTGGGGCATGAGGGCCAGGTGTCTGCCGTCTGGGGAACAAACCCCTGCAATGCCTTGAGGTGAACCATTGGGGTTGAAGGGGTATGTTTCTGTGGGTTGTCCCTCCTCATCCACATATCTGAGTGGCACCAAGTTACTTGACTCTATCTTCGCTTGAAGGTCTGAAGTTTTGAACACCATACGCCCTAAATGGGAAGGAATATAATTGTTGCATTATAAACATGATTTCTTTCAATATAAAAGACATTTTTCATTTTATTATACCATTTTATTCCTTTTTATACCTGTTTTACTGAATAGAGCTGAATGAGCTCTCAATGAGTTTCTCATTTTGTTGTCAGACTAACTCACACAAAATTTCAGATATCAAGTTTTGAACATATTTATGTCTTGAGTAGATGCTACCTGGCAATGTGGTATGCACTTCAGACTGTCATCACAATGATTCCTAGTTCAAACCCTGCCTGCTGTCATCCACTGCCACCCAGAAGAAAGTTAGGCTACTACAGGGGTCGGCAACCTGCGGATTGCGAGCCACATGCGGCTCTTTGGGTGTTAAGCTGCGGCTCTTTAGTTCCATATGCAAACATGATTTATTTTATTGAAAAAATAAACATTTTAAAATAAAATCACTCTGGTTAATTAACAAGGAGATTCTATCTCTCAGCCACTTGTACTCGTTTTTCAGGTCATCCTTTCACCATGTCTTGAAATGTAACATATTTGCAGGTTCAGCTTTTTTCTGTGTTATTACTTGCTATAAATGAATCACAACTTTCCTTTTTTTGTCTTCTCGAGGTCCAAAAGAAAAACTTCTAGGAATGCTACCACTTTCGTGACAAACTAGAGGGGAAGATAGAGCGAATGCCTTTCAAAAATACCTCGAAGACATTAAGATCAGTTTAAATAAAATCTTTTCAATAGCCACTGATGGAGCCAGAAGTATGTATGACTGAAAAAAATAAAAGGGCAACAACCATTTTTGTAAGCAAAATAAACCTTGAAATTCTAATGTTTCACTGCATGATACACCAAGAAGCGCTTTGTACCCAAACAATTCCAGCCGAAATAGCTCATGAATTTGGTAATCAAGATTATTAACAGCATCTTGCCAAAAGCACTCTTCCATCGTCAAATAAAAGAATTCTTAAACGAAATGGAGACTCAATATTCCGACCTCCTTCTTCCCAATAAAGTGCTTGATGACTTTCCAAAGGTAAGGTGTTGAAACATTTTGCTTTGTGCTTGAATGAAATAGGTACATTACTAAATGAAAAAGGCATTATTCACCCTGAATTAGAGAATGACAAATGGTTGCAAAACTTTTTCACTAACAGCGAAACCCAAAATATATGTTTGGATAAAATTAAAGTTAAAGATGAATTTGTTGACAGATTTGAGCAATTCAAAACGACAAAACCATTCAAGCATTCCTAGTAAATCCTCTCAACACAAATAGTAACGTAATCTACATTGATCCATTTGAAATTGATACTGGATATTTAGACATGCAATTGATTGATTTAAAAAGTAAAGTTTTGTGGAGTGGGAAATTTGAGTTGAAAGTCAAGTTGGAAGAGTTGGAGCTCCAGAAATGTATGTAATGCAACAAAAATGGAAAGCTTTAAAAGAAATGCCTCAAGTTGAGGGACTTATATATGCGACACATAGAATAGTCCTCCAGATTGCTAAAGTGAGGTAAAGAAGTTTGCATTTGGAAAGCTATCTATCTTCAGATTGACATATTCGTGCGAGCAAGTGTTCTCCTGCATGAATATAATTATAACTAAAGTAAGAAGCCAACTAACAAATAAAATTTAGAGTCGTGTTTGAAACTAAAAACAAGTTATGAGCCAAATGTATCCAAACTTTCTAAAACCATGCAAAGCCATCGTTCCCATTGAATTTGTTTGCTCAATTGTTTGTTTGTGAAGTACAAGCTAGTGCTATATGTAAATGTTTCATTGTTTTAATTTTTTTACTTACATATTACTTGTATATAAATAAATAGAATTTTTTTCTTATGAAACAAATAGATTCGTTTTTTAATGAAAACATTCTATTTATACTAGTACTATTTATTGTTGGCAAGAAAAATATTTGTGGCTCTTTAAAAACTTAGAAATTTTGTAAATTGTCATTTTTGGCTATTCTGACTCAAAAGGTTGCCGACCGCTAGTACATATGAATCTTCATTTCTATAGTGTCACGTATTACGAATTGAATTCTACTTTTAAATGGCTTGCCTAGGGGAACGTGACAATAGAAAAAGGTAGTTGTGTCACTTATCTTAAGTCTGAATTTAATCAGAGACTTACAATGAATAACAAAAAAAAAATGACACAAGAAATCGGAAGGTAAAATATCAACTTAATGTTTAATCATAATATAACTCAATACAAAATGGAAGGGTTGACCAAAACCCTTTTACAAAAATGGCATGTAAAAATATTACAATACAAGAGTTTGAAAATATAATTACAAATACAAGCAAGGCCTTGAAAAAAAGAAAAATCTTAACTTACACGATCAATTGGTATACCACGCACGGGTCACGCAATGTCTCCGCTATTCTGTCTCACGGCTGTCTCCGTATGTCTGTCCGTCAACGTCACGCGGGCGGTCTTTATATAATCTACCGCGCGTCGATCTCAAGACAAATCTAGGAATTTCTCGAACCAAATACGT